CCCAAAAAAAAAACACTGTTTTCTGAATACTTCCTGTAGTAAGGAATGAAGGACATCCCAACGTGACCGTAAGATTCCTGCCTGCACGGGAAGTTTGTTGACAGCTGCTAGCGGACTTGGTCTTCACCTCCCGAGAGGAGCCCGGAAGAGAATTACCCGTTTTCATGTACAATTCCGCGCTACCCCGATGGCTAGTCAAAGTGGTGACAGTCTAATTAAATGTGTCTGCATTTTAGGTATAGCATTTTAAAGCAGTTGATAAAGTCTCTTCTAATTCAGAAGCTAGTATTGACCAAAACGTGAGAAGAGTGGATAGCATAGCAAAGTTTGGGGGTTCACCCGAAAGACACAATTTCAGCACATGAGAAAGCTGGCTGCTATTTTATGCTTTCTTCAGTGTTTCTCTTCTTTTTGCTTCCTCTCTCTCTTTTTTTCTTCAGTTTTTCAAAGGCATGTAACGTCCCGTACTTGCTCTTAAAACGCCGTGTGGCATTCACGCTTAACTTGGTTTGTTAGATGGGTTTTGTGTGCAGATGCAGTAAGAATTCCTTGTTCACGCAATCGTTTTTTCAGGCCCTTCCCTCCCCTTAGGTAATTTGACGCACACCTCCTAAAACGACACAGCAACAAACCTGGTATTTAGACCATATGGAACATAAATACCATTTTTTCCTCAATTTTGGTAAAAAGACATTGGACTTCGGAGAATGCAGGTTGACCTGTGTGACTGACTAGCCCACCCAATCGCTGTAACTGAGCGTTGTTTGTAAATTCTGCTGATGGACGGGAACGTATGACAGAAGTTACCGTCAGCACAAAGCCTTAAAACCTGCTGACTTTAAACGGCCGGGTCCTGTGACGGCCTGCACCGCTGGGGGGACTAGCCCGCTCTCAGGGACAGAGCGCCCTGGCCTGGGCCGGAGCACCACCCACAGCCCAGCGCGTCGCCCTGCTCACTCCGCAAGGCACACGGAGCCATCAGATCAGATTTATTCCTGTCCTGGCTTGCTCTGGGGGTAGAAATGTTCAGGTCATCATTACCTTGGGATTAAAAGCAACCCGAAAAAACAACAGATCCAATCAGCACAGAGTAGGGAAGCGTTGTCCACCCTCGGTCACACTCTTTTTGCCTCGCTTCATGCCGAAGAGTGTGCCATCCACTGTCCATGTCAGACGCCGCTGGGCCTCGGCTGCTCCGTGGAACTCGTATCCACAACGCGTTGCCAGTTGCAAGGTAAAAGGCAAACCCGTAGTGTAGTCAGATTGCTAGAATCTTCCGGAGCTGGGGCAGGTTTAGGATTGATTGCAGACTTATTTGGGTTTTTAATAGTATTCTCCCCTGCCTTTCTAACTTAAATAGACAAATTAAGCAAAAGCGTGTGTTCACAACCAAATGTCGATGCGCTTATCAACGATAATATCCTCCCAGCGTTCACCGAGGAGCAGAAATTATTTCAGAGAAGAAATTGCAGAACGAGGCTAAGCTCACCCCACTGTGCTGAAAAACAGAACTCGATCACTTCACTTTTAGGTGATTTTTTCCCCCCCTTTTGCAATCGTAGACTCTCGTGCCTCCAAGTGCATTGGAAAATGGCAAAGACCTGTCTCTCAAAACTCCTGTTTTGTTTTTTTTTTAATTACTATCTTTCAATTCTTAGCTCAACTCTCACCAACTGAAAATTGGTTACTTGGGAGAAAGTTAACTTTCCATGGCGGGAGGGCAAAGGAGGAGGGACAGTTTGCATAGGGAAAAAAAAAGTCTAAAGTCCATGTTGAAATACCACATGATCACTTGTTTTCTGCTAAATGATTTTTGCATGTACACTTGAGGTTATAGTCTGTGCCTAGACCTAAAATGCACCAGCGGGGGGATTTAAAATAATCCTTCAAAATACCAGTTTTTTCCCCACAAGTACAGTTGTTCTTGTGCCTTCTGTGGCTTTCGATTTCATCTCTTTGACTTTATTTCCAATTACAGCTGCAATAAACACTAGATTTTTTTTTTTTTCCGGCTGTTTGACGTAACGTTGATAGCTATGCATATTTTGTGTCTTTTTAAAACAAAGCGGGAGAATACGTTTTTGAAGAAGAGGATTTTTAGAACAGTTTGATATACCGCAAATTATTTTTTCCTCAATTGTTTGAGCAGCATTCGCGTTTTGAAAATTCTTGTAGAAGCCAATTTTTTGTAACTGTGGTGCAAATCTTGTGTTTTCTTAGCCTAATGAAAAGTAGTATAGAAGCAATATTTCATGCCATGTGCTGTATATGTATACGCAGATGTGTGGGCATAGAAACACATGCGCACATATACGCACATGTAAAAATATACATATATATATGCGTGTGAAGTGGAGAGCTTACCTTTTCCTATCTAGATTTAAGGACCTATTTTAGACATTTGTTATGTTTTGTGAAAAGAATGTTCTATTTGCAACAACAAAACATTTAATTCTTACTGTATCTCTCTGGCTGTTTGATGAGGACGTTTCGCATTAAGTGGTAAAACAATGTGGAAGATGGTAGAATGTAGTAATTATTTAAGGAAACGTTCGCCCACCTTTTCCTGAAGTTTGCTTTGTGCCTCCGAGTGTTATTTAATTAAAGTGTTTTATGTTTGCAGATTCTCTGTTGCTGTGCTAGGGATGTAGGTGAATATCACTTTTAAGAATTAAAAAAAATAAAAATAAAGCAAAACAAAAACACTAAAGCAAGAGGGGAACTTTTATAAAGCAATGTAAATATCTAACCTCACGGCTGTTGTTACGTAAGACATGAGATTTTAATAAGTAACTACATCCTCACAACATCTGTTGGATTTATTACGAACACTACAGCGACTGAATGGACAGTTGAAAGCATTCTTGAAAATCCTGCTCTCTACTTTTAAAAGATAACAGGCTCTTTCATCAGATGTCAAGGGCAAGGGTGATGCAGTTTCTGTAAATTTATGAAATTTATTTTCTATGTACATGAAGAAATATAGTAAGTAACCCCCCCCCACACACACACACACACATACAGGTTAATAGGAAGTCATTAAGCTGACCATTTGGGGGCTTTAAAAATAAAATGATCCCCAGAAACAATCAAATTCATCAAAGAAAAAGCGGTTTACAGACTCCCCGGAAAGAAGCGGTGTACATGTGAGGACAGAGCAAGTCTCTTTGCCATGTATATTATAGAATTTTCATTGGTGTGAATAGTGCAGATGTTTCCTTCTGGTACAAACTCTGTGTTTGCAAATGACAAGAAGCATTGTTTTCCAAAAGCTCCCCTTAAAAGAATGTAACTGGTTGATATGAGTAAGCAGTTACTGTATTGCACTTAAATGTTATGTTGAAGGAAATGCGGCTTTGTTTTTCTGTAGACCTGTTGGTTGTAAACCATCTCTAAAACTAAAGCTGAAATGCTCATATTCAGAGCTGGGATCAAAACTGGTATTTAACCTTTGCATCTTCTTATAATTAGCCTTCTAAGAATATAACAGAATCTGGAAGCATCTGGGCTTTAAGTCTTTTCAGCTGAGCCCTCTTTCAAATCTGACCCCTCCCCCCAAAAATGCACAAACATGCGCAGAAAAGGGAAACAGACTGGCCTTCCTTCGTGAAAAGGTATTCATTCTGTATTTTTAAAATATTGTAATCCTCCACATCGGGGGAGAAAAAGTATTTTAAAATTGTATATTACCATTCAAAATGAGAATTAGAGAAACCAGTGTGTTTGGGGTTGGTCTCAGCGCTACCTGGAAGGATCAGAGGTGGTGGCTTTCCCAATATTGTCCCAGCCATTTCTCATATGTATATAGTATAAACCGTGACAAAACACTGCCTTTATATTATTTAGCAATATGTTGTAAATAGCATTATTAAGCTCTTTTTTTGTAATAAAGATCCTTTGATTTGAATATAGTACAATAACTGAACTGATAAAGTCAATTATTTTTTTTTTTAGCTAGAGGCAATTTCAATTGTGGATTTTTGTTGTTGTCTATTGTTCTGAAGACTTTGCATAATTTATTGGTTTAATTTATCCTAATTTATTTGATGAAGGTGTACAATTTTTGTATTACCAAGGATGTACTGTAATATTAATTGATATAATTTTAAAAAAATGAGACTCCCTGTCCATATTAAAAAGAAAACAAAACGGTGCAGTAGACAATTGATTTTAAAGTAAAAGTAAAAAAATTTAGTTTGGCAGCTACTAAATTTTAAAACAGGAAAATAAAAAGTTGTTTGGGGGAGGGGGGGAAGGGTGTTTTACTTTGTGTGTTTTAAGCTTTTGTATATTCTCCAAACTTTTACCTTTTTCTTTGTACCACTTAAAGGATACAGTAGTCCAATTGCCTTGTGTGCCTTCCATCTTCTCTTAAACTGAATGTATGTGCAGTATAT